ACCGGCGTAATCGCTCGCCATCTGGCAAACTGCTCTTGTATAAAGTGCTTTCCTTTTGGAAACGGTAAAGGACTGAACTTTCCGGCTTATTGGCCGTCCCTATGCTCAAATTTTTGGGACCAATTTTGCCCTAAATTTGTCTGTATTTTTGCTAGAAGTATTACATCATTCCGAACCAAAACTAACTGAAATACTCATGGTTGAAATCTGCAAAACAATCTGCAAAACTGTTCTTGTCACCTTACTTTTCATTGATTCAAAATTGGAAAGAGTTTACGACTTCTTATTTCCATTTCCATTTCCGACTCATCAAGTGTTCAATATTCAACTTTAATCTGTAATCTTATTTAGAATGATTCCTCAAGAAGCTACCGAGCTACTGGTTTAAGCTTGACTTTTTTTCCCTTCAAAACATCGTTTCCCTATCAAAATCCGGTTGTGATTTGAAGAAAGGAAAAGAGATGTTCTCGAATTGGAAAAGGAATGAAAAAGAAAAATGAAAGAGAAGGAAAAGTCTGAAATGTTCTCGTCTCATTTGATTTGGGTCAGTCCTTCAGTCTCTTTCTCGTTTTCATTTCTTTTTCTTCCTTGATTTGTGACAAGATCACCGTTTCGATTGAATCCTCAATTAATCTAATCATTTTGAAAGCATCAACTGCTTTTGATTTGCATTTTAATGAATTCCTTTCAAGTTTTAAAGTTTATTGTAATTTAAAGTTTGAAGTTCATTGAGATTTCATAATTTTAAAGCTTTGTTTGTATTTGAAAGATCGTAAAACCATTTTTTACCCATACAGGACAAATTACATCTGATTTCAAGTAAGTTTTTGGATTTTTCAGCTAAATGATCTCATCTCAAAGTTGAGATTCATCTAGGATCAGATGGGTCCTTTAGAGTTGCTCAAAATTAGCTGCAGACTTGACTACGATATGCTATAAGTGTTAAAGAGTATATTTGGATGTTAAAAATTGAATTCCTGAAGCTCTTGACAATCAACTTGAGGATAAAGATTCCTTTCAACTGCTGCCAATCTTATTCTCCGTCATTGGACAGAAATGACCATCACATTCACCCTGTGAACCTTGCTGTTATCCTCTTTTCCCTTTCCAATGTTAGCGATCATTTGTCTTTTTATTGGAGGCAGCAAGGAAACCTGTTTCAGCTGATTCTGATACCAGTTTTCATGAATTGTTGGCTGGATTCTTTTTGATTTCAGATTTTTGAAGTAAAAGTTGACCAAGCTTAGAAAGAATTTGAATGGTTTTAATCTAGTGGTTCTCCAGAAGGAGAATCACTAGATCTCTCCAGAAGATCTCTCCAGAAGCTTTCTCTCTAGATTTCTCCAGAAGATTTCTCCAGAAGATCTCTCCAAAGCTTTCTCTCTAGATCTCTCCAGAAGATTTCTCTCTAGATTTCTCCAGAAGCTACAGTAATCCAGTTGTTTTTGAAATGATTACATTATTTTTAAAATGATACAAAATCAGCTGATTATTCCAGTAATTCAGCTGTTTTTGAACTGGCTACGGTGGCTCTTTCCTTATAAATTCAAGCCACCGTAACCCTCTGAAAAGTTGCCTTAAGAAAGCCGCTTTTAAAAAAAACATAGATTATTAGAGCCTGTTCAGATTAGATTCACTATTAGATTATTAGAAATCCAAAAAAATAACAAATCTTGGCTCTCTCGAAAGTTTACAAGCCAAGTCTTCAAAACAGTCACAAAAATTCTCACTCCCCGTGTTCTTTTCACATTCAGAATGTCGATGATCGTATGTCTTTTTCTCAAAAAAGCCCGTTTCCCCCTTTTCCATCTTTTTTTCTCATCTTCTAAAGTTTTCCGTGAATCTATCGTTTTGTAAGTGCCGCTCGTACCAGTTTTCATTTACACCCATTCCCCTCTCATCTCCTTTCGCCCCTTTCCCCTTTATCTGTTGGTCATTCAGCCAGCTTTGCAATCGTGTTCAAAAACCTGATGTTACTCAACCGTTTCTCCTTTTTCTACTTTTCAACTTCTACTTCGATAAGCTCTTTTTGTCGGCATTTCGACGAATTTTTGAGTCTCTTGATTTCTCAGTCTATCCTTTATCTACCATTTTGCATTGGCTTTCAATAAATTATGATGACCGTTCTGTTTTGAAAATTGATATTATTCTAGTCGGAAACCAGGCTAACATTGTATCTAGATCGGTTTTCAAATACTGATTTTGGTTTTGATGATGTTTAAGGATGTGATTCATGATACATTGTCAATTTTTGTCAATGTTTTCAAGTGTCAATGTTTTCGTGTCAATTTTTGAGCCCTGTATTCAAATCTAAATCAAATTCACGCTACCATCAACATCAAATAGGTTGTCAAGAACATCACGATGTTTTCAAGCTTTCTTTCTTGTTGCAGAAAACCTTTCTTGTTGCAGAAAGCCTTTCCTCTCAAGTCTCAAACCAAATCTTGCATCTACATTGTGAATTTCAAGACTTACTTGACTTCTTTAATCCTTTAAAATATCATTTTTTCCAAATTGAATCAACTCCATATTGAAATCAAAACATTCTCTAAGTTAAACCAATATTGGATAGCTTTCCAAAAACGTTTCCCCATTTCCACAGAATGACAAGGAACAAGACAAAGATTTCCATTAAAGGAGAACCGGCGGCACTCCCCTTTCCCCCACATTCTTTCAATCAAAGTGCATTTTTGTCTTTTACGATTTGATTTCATTCCCTTTTTCTCTTCAGATCAAAGCGAAAGTTGTCAATTTTTTGCAAATAAGCTAAAACTTATAAAGGATTACACTAAGGATTCCATTTCGATAAAATAAAATGACGAATTGTGAGTCAAGCCGAAATCTCCCAATTCTCCATTTCTTCACTTTCCCCATAAATGTCTAGACGACTCTGACTTGCTTTTTGGGTGGCTATTGGCAGACAAATATCTCTGTGACTCATTTTCAGATCTTTTCGATATTGATCAGCTTATTGTCTTCAATGAAATCGATACTCAGAAGTTTTTGATTTGACTTGACTTGACTCTACTTGAGTTTCTTGATCAAAGTGGAATTTGATTTTGTATTAAACCGTGCTGTGATTAAACCGCAACATTGAACTTTCAGCTGGGAACAAGTTCCAACTAATTTACATCTTTTCTTTACCCTTATCTTACCTTCAACGGAAACTTGGCTGTTTTACAAGTTCTAGTTCTTGCTGCTCCAGCTTGCTAGAACTTTCTCTAGCAAAATCCTGATCCAAAATGACCATGTAACACTAAAATCCAGAGATGCAAATAAGAACTAGAACTTGTAAAGCAATAAAACAACTCTAGTACAACTTGAAACAGCGAAAGAAATCCAAAAAAATGAAAGGGCCGATCACTTGAGTGATCGACAAAAGAAGGGAAAGCTGTAAATCTGAAATGGGAAAATGGGAAAATTCAGAAGAAAAGAAAAGTGAGAAAAAGTGAGAGAAATCCCTCCAAGCCTATTTTCATTCAAATTTTCTCTTTCTCCTTCCCAGCTAAACCCTCGATCACCCAGAAAAAGCGAGCATCCATTTTGAGAATAAAGTTTACTCCTTAAATGATCTGTATTTTGTAATTTTTGATCTCATTTTGATTATTTTGATTTTTAAATCAATTCTTGTCAATTAATTTTAATTCGAATCAATCAATTCGAAGTTGAAACTTGAAAGGAAATAGCTAGGATTACTTGTAAAATTGTAAAGCACTTGTAAAGCAATAAAACAACTCTAGTACAACTTGAAACAGCGAAAGAAATCCATCCATCGAAAGCATAAAGCATTTTATTACTTTCAAATGAAGTTGAGTAAGTCTTTGCGATCAATTGACTGTAAGATTTGTGTCTTTCTACCGTTGTAATACTAATAAATCCCGTTTTTGATCTCAAGGATCCATTTGTAAAGCATTAAGCACAAAATATTGAGTCAAACTTTTGAATCGGACAACTGAATCGAATCCTAGACTTGATTCTTGAGTCTTTTAACACAAGTCAAACTCATAGATCACTGAAAATCTCCAAACTAAACTCTTTTTCATTCCACCCACTCTCCAAAAACCATTACATGCCATTTCCCATATTTTCTTATCGCATAAACATTCTAATCTCCATTTGAAGTGGGAAATCGGGAAAATCTTCTTTCTTTTCTTCTGTTCGATTGCGCAATGCATTCACATCCACTTTTCCTTACTTTCCCCTTTCTCTTTTCTGAACTATTCACTCCGGAGGGCAATTTTGTGAGAAAAAAGAGCTTCAGGATGGAGGACTAGTTATAAGGGAAATAGGGAAAGGAAAGGATGGCACACTCGATCGAGTCTCCCCTCAAATGCACACAATATTCTCACTTTCACCCACATGGGGGAGTTTTTTGGGAATCGAGAATATCACTGTTTTTTTTGAGATTTAATGTTTAGAGCTTTCACCTGTTCATATCTATATCTATGCATGTATATAAGAAATAATCTTTGAGCTTAGCAAAAATCACTGCAGATCGAATCTTCGACTACTTTGAACTAGTCGATTACTTTGAAACTCAAGCATCAACAAATCACTAACTCGAATTTAGCAGAAATTAACTAAAACCTATGGTGACGGTACTTATATAAGTTGAAACTTTTGGTTCCATCTTAGCGACTTTGAAACTTTCGATCTTTAAACTTGATTGATCATTGTTTCACTTACCCTTTGAATCTTTGAATTTCTTTGAATTTCTCTCAAATACACAAAAGCCCCCATGGAAGAGCCGATTTTTCAGAATCACTGCTTTCTGGGTATTCAAAGCTTTCACTTACCCTTTTACAGTCTTTGAATGTAAAGTAATCTTTTCATTAACTCTAGATTCTTTGATCTTGCCTTACAACTGCCTTTAGCCTTAAGAATTTAATGTTTTTTCGTTGTTCCCATTTTCAAATCAATTCTACTCTCTTTTAATTGATGATCGATTTACAGACTCGCCTCTTCAATCGTCCCATTTCCCATCCCGATATTCTCATTGGATGGTGGTGTGGTCTCTAGAGCCTCATGTGCGGAGGTTCTTCGAGGCGTATGGACCTGTGGCTCATCGATTGCGATATCCGTTCATTTTCATTCCAATTCTTCTAACCTTATTGCTTTCACTGGGCGCTCTTCGACTACAAGAGTTGAGAGTCGATGATCCATCGTATGTCTTCACACCGACAACGGCAAGGTCAGGGAAATTTAATAGCTCATTTTAGCTGACTTAAACCATACCAATTGTTGAATATCGTTTTGATTTCAGATGGCGAACCGAGCTCAAAATCTTCACCGACAATTGGCCATTAAATGAGAACAAATTCTTGCCCGGGAAATCTTTTGAAACAAAGCGTTTCATCAATGTGTTGATCAAAGCGAAAGATGGAGGAAATATTTTGAGAGATCCGATTTTAAAAGAGGTCATTGAAAAGCATTGAATAAGGGATAAGGCTCTGTTTTGGCGGCATTCAATAGCTTGGGTTTAGTTCATTGATAGAGTGTTCGCTCGGTAAGCGAGAGGTAAGCGAGAGGTCACGGGTTCGAACCCCGGCGTCGGCCATTTTTTGCGCCCAACCCAACTATAAGTTTCCAGCTAGGTGTTTCCAACTATCGGATAGCAATTTCAAATTTAGATCAAAGTGCTGAATGGTTGGATTATGAACAACATCTCTGTGCCGACTTATGATGGGAAATTTGAGCTCTCCTATCAGGTGCGATATTCTATTTTGTTGACCGAATATTTCTACTTCTTCAACTCATTCTTTTTTATTAAAATTTCCAATCAAACCCTTGACCTTTATGGTTGAATTCATTCGCGATTCTCATATTTTTCCTTTCAGGATTTATGTCTCTCGTATGATTGGATATGCGGAGCAAATGAGCACATTGAGATGCTCATCGAAAGGAAAAAAGTGCATCAAGTCATCGATCTCACGTTTCCGAGAGGAGGAACAAAGGTGGTTTTTGAGATTTGAAACAAATTCAATGTCTTAGCAAAGATGATAAAACTGAAATCAAGTAGCTAGTCCAATCGGTTATATTACAAAGCTTGGGACTTTAAAAATGCATTTATTCACACGAATAATGTGGTACAAGCAATAGAAAGCACAAGTCTTAAGCTCTAAATGTAGGGAAGAAAAAAAACTTTGCATTTGAAAGTGGCTGTCAAAATAGTGACAAGTACGTTAAGGCGTACTTATAATTTTTTCCGACGGAAGGAGATGGAAGGAGAGATAGCAACTAGAGTGTGTACCCGTCAAAGAAAATAATTCATTTTCTTTGCACAAGCTTAAAAACATACCAATTCAGCAATTCACAACTAGCAATTAAAAAGTTGAATCGTCACTGAAGGTTGTTTAAAATCGGTAACATCAAGTACCAAGAAAGCGCCAAAAATAGCAAAGATCAACACCTGACTGATAAAGCTGGGAAAAAGTTTTAATAATGTAACCGGTGGGATTGAACCCTATTGAACCCTATTGAATCGGCGGGATACAGATCTCTTAGCCAGTCGGCCATGGCGACCTTTTATATATATATATATAGATACTTTATTCAGGACCTGAGATCAAGTGCGCTAGATTTAAGATTAAAACACATGAATTCATACACATAACACGAAAAGGGCCAATAAAAAGCAACACGATATAATATATGGGTAGCACAGATAACGTCAAGGATCCACTAGAGCTTCAAGATCAAGATCATCTACAGATAATTTAAAGGTTTCGGGACTATTGGACTCTCTCAAAACTCTGGGGAGTCGAATCCAAATTCTGGAAGTTCTTATTGGAGAAGAGTTATAAACAGACTTATTGGAGGAGACTGGAATTTCTAAAACGAAAGAACCTCTCCTTGAATTAACCGTGGGATTAACTTTGAATAAATCTCCAAAAAGAGGGATAGGTTGCCTGCCATTTACAATTTTGAAACATTCTATAAAACCTTTGATCCAAACTTTGCCTAGTACCCGAAATTTGTTTTAAAAGGACAAACTTTTACAAATTTTCTAAATCTTCTTGTATTTTAGGATCAATTTCTATAGTTGATTAAAAATTAGTATAAAAAGTAAGAACTTTTCAGGACAACCCAGTTTATCTTGGAACAACCCTCGGCGATGTCACCCTTTTCCCAAATAACACTGTTGAAACCGCGAAAATCACTCAACTCTTCTATTTCTTGAAACAAGAGCAGGTAAAGCTTTAAAAATACTTTAAAATATTGAAAATTTTATTAGAAATTACTCCGAGACTACTCATCAGCTTTCTCCTATGCAGTTGAACGCTTTCTCTTGCATATCTACTCATCAGATCTCATCGAATTGTCGATGGCTCATTATCAATCATTGCAGGTATTAAGATATAAAAAAATGATTTTAGAAATAAAGCCAATACGAAAAAGTATTCAGTTCTAAAATTGAACTATTTTTTTTGAATCTTTAGGATGGTTTGGATGAGAACGCGAAGCATTTCGCTCCGAATTTCGTTTTCAGCTTCGCTACTCTCTCTTTTTATGCCCTTGCTTGCTCATTTACACTCAAGTTTGTTTTAAAAAGACTTTAAATTTGAGATATTCATAGATTTTCTTAGAAATATAATAAGAGTTTTTAGACGAGGCAAGAAAAGAATCGATTGGCTGAAGAGTAAACCGTGGGTAGCCGTTTCTGGTGGGCATTTTTGATTACCTTTTTCCAGTCAACTAAAAACCACTGCATTGATGTGAAAAAGAAGAATTGATATGCTAGAAAGGCTTCATTTTTGAATAAAAAGCCTATTGCTTGTTAGCTTCCTGCAGCTATTGTTCTTACAGGCCTGGCCACAACACTGTTAGCTATTGGAAGCGGTTTTGGATGCCTTTTGCTTTTGGGAGTCAACTACAATGTGATCAATACGATTATCCCGTTTTTGATCATTTGTGAGTTCAATTTTTAACTTAAAGATTATAAATAACATTCCAGCTATTGGAATCGATGATATGTTTATCATGGTGGCTTGTTGGGAATCTTCGGATTCAAGGAAACCTGTACCGCAAAGGATTTCACAAGTAAATTATGTTCAATTTAGCTATTTTGACTAGTTATTTTGGTTTAATTACCCATTCCACTAACTGTTTTCATTTAAATACCCATTCTGACATTTCCTTGAACTTATTTTAGACACTTGCACACGCGGGAGTGGCGATAACGATCACGAATGTCACTGATATTCTCTCTTTTGCTATTGGTAAGGAAGATGATGTTAAATGAAAAGAAAATTTCAAAGGATACTGCTTTTCTTGGCAAAGGCAACAATTAGAAATGAGAAATTCGACTTGAACTTGAATCAAAATCCTTTTCCAGGTTGTATCACCGATCTCCCCGGAATTCGACTATTCTGTCTCTACACCTGGGTGACAATCCTATTCTGTTATGTCTATCAGGTACACTAAGAGCTGTTATGAATTTATTTCTATCTGTTATGTCTATCAGGTTATTGTAACTTCAATGAATGGTCAAGCTTTGAAGAATCCAGAGAACAAAACCCTCAAATTTGATTGCACTTTTCTTCCAGTTTGACTGCTGTTTAAGTAAAACAATGGTTTAGCAAGATCCAGAATTTGTAGCAGAAATACAGACAAATTTAAGGCAAAAATTGCCCTCAAATATTTCGGGATATATACCAAAGCGGTTTGCCAGAGTGTGAGCGATTAGGCGGCCACACAAAGAACACCTTTTACAAGAGAATTTGCTTTGTAGATGGTAAAAAAGGAGATATTGAGCTGTCAATTTGTAATGGTGAATCAATTAAAGCTATTCATTTTATTGAGTATTCAAAGCTTGAATACTTATTCAGCCGCCTTTAAATCCTAAAGCCAAAAGCTTTCCAAAAGCTTGACTTCAGTAAGAAGCTATACTAAAAATTTTAGCTAACTTTTGTTTGTGGGTGGATGGCGGTTATGGGCGAAGTGGAAGCAGCACAACGGCACTCACTTCTTCTCTACAAATTGTACGATAAAGTGGCTGATTCAACGAACGGAAATGCAGCAAAAAGGATCACGTATCCCGAGAATTTACGACAATTTCAGAGGACTCCGATTAAGAGGTGAATGGCCAATCGTACCCTTTAACCTTTTCCATTTTCAGTTACAGTATCTCTGATTACTCGGATGACGTGAGTCAATCATCGAATGATAGCGGAGTTTCGTCGGGGAAGATTTCACCCGGTGAATCGAAGAATAATTGGAAGAAATCGAAGTGTGCGATTATTCCCAATACCGCTTGTCCTGTTGGACCACCAATCTATCGAACCTCGGCTCCACTACCGCCAAAAGTAAGACTTGAATTCAAGTTCAAGATTCCCTTTGTTAACTAAAATTTCAAAGCTACAAGGTGGCCCACAATGACCACAATTATGGCGCCTCACTCCAGAGGGCCTAGATTGGTCAAAATTGCGTGAATTGTTCTGATTTTTCTAGAGGTAAATCTTAAGTATTTCTCCTGAAACGGTGCCCATTATCTATTCGATTCAAGCTTTCAACTTTTTTATATGACCTTCCAAGAGAGCCGAGTATCGCTCGGCATGCTACTCATTTATGGGATTTTTGAGAGCGATCTTGTCAAAATCTCGTTGAAATTGAATTTATTATATTAATGAACGAAATTTCACATGCTCTACGCAGTTTAAGTGAAAAAATTCCGTGAGAAATGTCACCAAAACTCACTTAATATGATCTATTTTCACTTCAGCGATTAGAGAAGCCACTAAAGAACAAGAAAATCTGATTTTATCAAAGTCTATTGGTTTTAAATTACATAAGTAATTAGATATTGATCGGCAAAGGGGAAAGCCTCGTGGAAGATCGGCTCTTAACTTGGAAGAGTCATATAGAAAAGTTGAAAGCTTCAATCGAGTAGATAATGAGGACCGTTCAAGGAGACATACTTAAGATTTACCTCCAGAAAAATCAGACCGATTAACCCAATTTTGACCAATCTAGGTCCTCCGAAGTGCGGCACTACGCTGGCCCACCTTGTACAGTACTTTTGTTACAATCCCCTAAAGTATTGCTTAATGCTGATTTGCTCAAAATCCATTGTAATTCCAGGATCCTTCTTCACTTCCCCACGCCGAGCCGACAATGATCGTTCGTTTCTTCTCAAAGAACTATGCCCCATTCATTCTACAAAATTCGGTCCGAGCCATCACAATCCTTGCATATTTCATCTATGTCATCATTGCTTTATATGGATGCATGAATTTTCAGGTAACCTAGAGAAATCTTTCTTGATTTTATCCTTTCTAGGAGGGGCTGAACCCAGCAAATCTGGTGACAAACGATCACTATATTGCAAAATATTTCACTGATATCAAAGCTTTTTGGAAGAAAGGACCACAATTGCATGTGGCCGTTTTGGCACCACCGAGTTTGATTGATGAGAGGCAGAGGTTCGTTGGCAATAAAGAAGGATTTCGAATGGTTTGGTACATGATCTGAATCTGAATCTGATTCATGATCAAATCATTTCTTGATCTGAAACTTTTCAAAAAGTGGCAAAAAGGCGAGGCTATCAAATTTTGTTTGAGCTTATTTCCTAAAGCTTTTCTTTAGGTTTATCTTTTTGGATAGCTATTTTTCTCTTTGCAATATAGATAATGAATCGATTAGTAAAAAGAAAACATATCTTTCAAGTTGTTCAAAGCAAGAATTGGTTATACAAACCATCAAAATCCCAAAATTCTTAATGAGAATGTTAAAATACTGTCTTCAAATCTAGACCTTAACCGTTATTCAATAATTTGTTTTCAGAAATGCCATGCTGAATGTTATCTCATCTCTTGAAAACACTCCGTACACGTTGGGAAGAGAAGGAACAGTTTTCTTCTTAATTGAATATATGAATTACCTTGAAGAATTGAATGCTGAACTCGAAAATACGGAAAAATTGTGGAAAACAAAGGTTTTATTTAAAAATTTACAGTTTAAAGTAAAGATTTTAGTTGCTGAAATGGCTAAAGTACACAGGCGGTGCCTCACAATGGCAAAGTGACATTAAGTTGAATAAAACGACTCAAGAATTTGAGGCTTATCGGTTTACGGTGAGTGGAGAAAGCTTTAAGAAATACAGTTTGTCCAGATTGCTATGAAAAACATTGTCGAGCCAAACGACCACAAAATGGCCACAAAAATGCTACGGGAAATCGCGGACAAACAACCGTTTCAGGTTTTGAAATCTCAATCTATTGGGTCGAATTGAAAACTGCCGGACTTTGAACTAAAATTTATTCAACATAAAACCATCAATTGATTCCAAATAATTTCCATTATTATTGACGACTTCTGTCCATTTTACAGGCAATTTGCGGATTCCTCTTTCGTAGTAGGATTTTGGTTTGTGTGTGAGACAAGTGTGAGACTCAAAAATGGAGGACTGGAGATGTCCCAGTTTGAGCACTTTCTTCAAAAGAAACCCATTTTGGTGTCAATAGAAAATAGTCGAAGAGAATCAAAAATTAGGCTTCTAGCCAAATTTCCAAAAAGATACACTTAGTAGTTTCGCTTAAAATGCAAGTTTCGTGAAAATCCGTGAATTTGGCATTTCTTGAAAACCAGACTTTGAATCGTTCTGAAAATTTGGGTATAAGCTTGATTTTTGATTCTCTACAACTTTTCCATTGACACCAAAGTGGGTTTCTTTTGAAGAAAGTGCTCAAACTGTCACATATGACAATAGCCCGCAGTTTTCGATTCACCAACCTAATATATATTATTCGCTTTTTTATAACTTCACCCATTATATTTCTAGATCGAGATCTTCCACGAGGCTTTCCCATTCGCTGATCAATATCTAATTATTTTGCCTGCAACAGCGATGAATATTGGAATCTCGCTGATCTGCATGGGAATCGTTTCTTTCCTCCTCGTTCCATCAATCCCATCCGGTGTCGTCACTTTCATTTCGATTGTCTCAATTGCGATGGGCGTTTTTGGATATATGACGATTTGGGGTAAGTATGGGAATAATACGATTAAATAGCTTTTATGTTACAGTTACTGTAATCCTTTTGTAAAACTTTTAAAAAAATGCTCTAGAAAGAGCACTATAACCGAGGTGCTAGCAAAAGCGCCGCGTTTTTTTGCGTTTTCAACAATTTCATTTGCGCCACGTTTCATTTGCGCCAAATTTACGCTTAAAGCTAAATTAATTTACCAAATCACTTTTTCCCAACTTCTAACCAACTTTTTTTCAGCTTTCTGCTTCAATATTTTAATTCAGACTGTTTCCAATTAGAAAACACGTTTAAATATATATATACAGCCCCAAAAACAATCATTTTTGTGCCACTGATTGGGCTTTTTGCTCTTTAGATCGATTTTATGCTATTTTCAGATCCAGAGCATCTTCGACAAGAAAAAGTAGTAAAAAAATAAAAATAAACAATCAGAGTTGGTAAGAAAGTGGGTTGAAAAGCGCAGATTTGACGAAAATGATACTGAAAATGAAAAATAATTTGGCAGTCAGGCGCTTTTGCTAGCATCTCTCACAACTCCGTTGTCTTTTGGTAACAAATGACAAAGTGCAGTAGCTTATCCCAGCTTACAGAACTCAAAGTCTACGCTTAGATCCTAGAATTCATAGCTCATTCTACTAAAATCTGACCTTTTCTAGGAGTCAAACTTGATGCGGTTTCGATGATCTCAATCATCATGTCAATCGGATTCGCTGTCGATCTTTCAGCTCATATCATTTATGCTTTCGTTACTTCACATGGAGACACGAGACAGAGAGTGATTGGAGCATTGGAGGCACTCGGATGGCCGATCTTTCAGGTTTTTTTTAAACATACTGTTTATTATGGATAGTTTTTGATCACTTAATAAAGCTATATAAGTTGTTAGACTATCCATTTCCACTTCAATCATCACCCCAACAAAATTTTGATCTACCAAAATGATGCGATTGATTAGGGCTGAAAAAATGAATCCAAAAAAAACGTCCATTGCTCTTGAAAATCATCTTTTTTTTCTCAATTCCATTTTCCTTTTGCTCTTTCAACGTCGATGGGGTGAATGTTCAAAGAAAACGAGGCATTTTTTGCGAAAGTCTTGATGATTTCTTTGATTCATAAATTTCTTCCCGAATGATTGATGAATGTTGATTGAGAGCAGAGAACTACATCTTTTCCCCCTTTTCTTTCCGACACAGATCACAGGATTGATCTTATCACAAGGGGTTCCTAGGGAAAACAAATCTTATAAGATATCTTATATCTTACAAATCTTTCGCAGAAGTTTTTTTCTGTTTGACAAATAGTAAAGATAAACTACGAAATGTAGCTGAGAAATGATACTTTTCAAAAGATATTTTTATTTGCGCTAGGAGGTCGGGGTTGACTAGGTTATTTCCTCTTTGGCGAGTCAAGTAAGGGTCGAATATCGAGGGAAAAAAAGCGGCTGGATCCGATAAATGGCTTGACTCGAATCATGAGCAAGAAGGGGAAAATGAACAAGAGCAATTTCGTCTCAGATAAAGAATCTAGGTCTCAACGATGAGTCTTATGGGCTTGAGATACCCGAGAGACTAGAATGTCGTCTTTCAGGGTGTGGCGAAAGTTCTGTCCTTTTTAAATTCTCTTTTAAATTTAAATTGAATTCTCTCTGATTGTTATTATTTCATAAGCATTTATAGCCAAAAGATAGCCAATTTTCCAGAGAATTTAAATCTTATTTCCTTTTTTAAATAGCTCCTTTAAATTTTGAGTTATCACAATTTACGTGCGCTCTGTGGTCTCACCAAATAATAAGCGCAAAGTGCGACCACAAATACTGTTTTCAAAGAGCATAGAATAGCCAAAAGAAAGCCAAAAGAAAGCCAAGATAACTCAAAATCTAAAGAAGTTATTTAAAAACTGTAATCAGTTTTAAATTCTGTAAAAGATTGGCTTTCTTTTGGCTATAAACACTTATGAAATAAAATCAACCAGGAAGCTTTTAGAGAGAATTGTAAAAAGGACAGAACTTCCGCCGCACTCTGTAGAATCAGCTATTGAACTGTTTTTTAAATCTCTTTTTTTGGTGTCAGTTTTGACACTACAAATTTTCTTCTATATTTTCGAAAATCCTCAAAGCAATAAGTTATGTTTTTCTGGGACTCGATTTTTTTAGAAAGTTGCTATTCAGTGTTTTTAGCAATGTTTTAAGCTTGCGTTTATTGCTCTAGATCATTTCGGAACTTCATTTGAAAAAAACCTCTCATCTGAAACTTTTATTAACTGAATAATCTGTGATTCATGAATACCGTATTTACTCTATTAGCACTGTGTAGTAGTATTTTTTCGTGACGGCTTTTTCGTGGCAGAGGTGCAGTACTGCAGCCTCTAATAGTACTGCAGCCTCTAATAGTACTGCGGTCTGAGCCGTCATCAAGATTATTAGATTATTAGAGGTGCAGTACATAATCAGATTTAAATTCTGTAAAATATTGGCTTTCTTTTGGCTATAAACACTTATGAAATAGAATCAAAATAGCTTTTAGAGAGAATTGTAAAAAGGACAGAACTATCGCCGCACTCTGTAAATTGCTTGCTCATTCACTTGTCAAAGCGGGCTTACATTTCTTCGGATAAGCTACAGCTCAGCTCAGATGATTTCTTGTATCTCACTCTAGTTAATCACGCTATTTCACTCACTCACAACGACTCTAGCCAATCCTTCTCGATCCCTGACTTTAACTAGGCTTAAACCATGATTTTAATGATGCCGATCAAGGTAACTGTTCCCCATTTCAGGGCGCTTCATCAACAATCGCCGGTGTCTCGATTCTCTACACCGTGAACGCTTACATCATTCTCACATTCTTCAAAACGATTTGGTTAACAATGGTGATCGGGATGTTACACGGATTACTCTTCATCCCCATTTTTCTCTCTTTCATCCCAGTTGGTTTCTTCAGAATTCATAAAAGTGTCGAAATGCATTAAATCATTCAAAAATAACTTATTTTTGTCCTTTTTACGGGTACCTTTACTTTTAAAATTACCGTCTTTCCTCTATTTTTCACCTCAGCTTTACGTGACTTTTGTGGCCAATACTCTTTCCTTTTGGATCCCGCGTGAAGAAAAATTCGTTTGGTACTAAGAAAACTCATCAATTTCTAAATTTTTCGACATATCATTTTTAATTTTTTCATTTTCTATCCCAAAAACGTGTATTCAGCTCCGAATTCTTTCTTTTTTTATTTGCCGTTTTGTTGCTCACTATCGAATGAATAAACTTTTACAAGAAGGCTTATTTTCAACAGCAAAAATATCAAAGTTATACAAAAATACAACATTTTACAGTCAAAGACACCTGTCAGATTTAAAAATAAGCATCAAACATGCTGACCTGCTCACTCTTGCTTCATTTACATTTGTATTTAGAGGCTTGGCTTTTATCGTCAGGGTCAGCAATCTCGGGTCATTGCACAAGCAAGCTTCTAGATGTTGGATGAGCCGATCAATGGGCTGATTCGTTAATATACTTGCTTCTGGTATGATTTAGATTTAGATTGAATCTATGATTTAGGTTCTATTCACAAATTGCAACATTTGTGATTAAACAAAATCTAAACTCTTTATTCAACGAGTTACAGTACTGGACAAAAGATTTTCATCTCGCGAGTTTTCTCCATCTTTGAAGAGCTATAACTCCGAACCTTTCCATCGTAGACTAGAAATATTGTAATGATTCTGTAAGCTTAAGACGAGCTCTATAAGATGATGTATTTGTTTTTTTAAATTACTTAAATTTTTGACACATTTCGGGGTGCGTAAAATAGGGTTTGAAAAAACAACATTTTCAGCGCTGTTTTTCTTGTTGATGTTGTGCTCTAATCATCTCGAAACCGTGTTTTTTGAAAAGAACGTGCAAAATTACCCCTCAAAACCTTTGATTTGAGTATTTAGTGTTGTATCAAATTTCTAAAAAACCAGCTTCGCATGGCATCAACAAGGAAAACAGCGCAAAAATCTTTTTTCAAACCCTATTTTACGCACCCCGAAATGTGTCAAAAGTTAAAATAATCTTAAAAAGCAAATACACCATCGTATAGAGCTCGCTTTAAGCTTTCAGAATCACTATAATATTTCTAGTCTACAATGGAATGGCTCGGAGTTATAGCTCTTCAAAGATGGAGAAAAATTCGCGAGGTGATAATTCTTTTGTCCAGTCTTTATCCTTTTTGAAACATGAAGTAATTGCATCTAGAAAGAGCCAAATTTTGCCAGTGTTGAGCAAAAAAAACGTAGAGTTATCGGTTAAAAGCAATGAAATAAGACGAAAATTCCAACGTTTATTTTTAGAATTTATCAGCTGCAAGTTGTTTGCTCAAAATGAATCACGAAAATAACGGTAATCACTTAATTCTCGTCATTTTCCTAGTTTCCATTTGATTTTTCCGCCTCCAGAACCAAGCAAATAGAGGAACAAAAATGTATAAAGAAAATTTTGGCAAAGAATACCAAAAAAAAACTGGTTCAAATACTGCAATCAGAGAATTTGGGAAACTTGGTTCAGTTACCCAACTTTCCCAGTTACCCATTCGCCGAGATCACCGCACTTTGCCCGTTCTATGCTTTTTCCTTTTCCCCCAAAAATGGAAAAGACGATCATTTCTCTCATCTATCAAAATTTGAAAGCAAGAGCCTTTTCTTTTCCATCTTTTGTGGAAGTTTTCAGTCTCGATTCCCCGTTCATCCACCCGATTGATGTCTGGAGCTTCATCTTATCCATTTTCCCACCGAAATCGCTTTGTCTACCCATGAACATTGTTCAAAATGTGGCTTTTGATTGTTTTTTTAGCTACTTTGCATTCGTTTTGCAACTTTTTATCATTTAAACAGCAATTTAAGGAATCGCAGGTCCGTTAATAATTCGAAAAATAATTGCAAATATGGTTACGGTTTAATTAGAAATTTTTTTGGCTTTATTAACTAGTCATCCCGGCTTTTGAAAGTCTTATCTAACAACTTTGAATCTTTGAATGGTTCTTTTTTTGGATCTAACTCTTTTCTATCTTACATCTTTAGCTTGAAACAGAAAAACTTGACTGCTTAACATTTCCGTATCTCTTTTGATTGGTTTGCTCAATTTTTAACCAATCTTCATCATAAAATCATCTGCTTTTTGTTTTTGCAATCATTGTTTTAGATGATATAAGTTCACAAGGGTTCACAAAGGATATTGTAAGATGAAAAAGTAGATAGATTCGATGTACACTACTGAACAATGAAATATGATATTTGAAAAAAGATCGTCACTTTCGCGCGTCTGTAACTCCCTTGTCTTTAGCGTATTTCTAAATATTAATATTACCATTGTGTAGCCGTTGAAAAGAGCTTTCAGAAAATGTATAACACGAATAGTTTAAACTCAAAGACAAGGGAGTTACAGACAAGGGAATTGCAAAGTGACGATCGTTTTTCAAATATCATATTTCATTGTCCATTACTGTAGATAGATTCGATGAAAACTAGAATAAAGATTGCGATGATTTAAAGTTGAAAGGCTTTAAAAAAATCTAACTACCGTAAATACTGTAATAGTACCCCATCCCGTTTCTACGTTTCTAGTATCTACGTTTTAAAAAGCAAAATTTCATTCTTACTTTTCCAACAACTTCAGAAGTTTAGTTTGGCTATAGATTTGGCTTTAAAAGGTTAACTGATAACCTTTTTAAGCACTGATTTAGAGAATTTAAGCAACAAACTAAACTTTACTTTTATTGATACTGTTAACACAAACAAACTCAATCGTTGAACTCATATACTGATCAAATCGCACGACTCAACTTTACCCTTCTTCCCTTTTGTTGATCGAAATCGCAAGAGTCCCTTCCTCTTCTCCCCAATAATCTCAATCAATATCTTCATCGTAATGGATGATCAGGGAATTTCTCAGTTCATAATCCCTCTCATCCCCAAAAGAGAGATTCGATATCAATGACGGATTTTTGGATAAACTCTTTTCTCAAATAAATCAAATAGAAAGAGAAAAAGCAAATTATTATTTGAAAAGGCGATCGTTTTCAAACCAATATCATCAAATTTTTTTTGAAGGAAATCAATGGGCTTGTTGTTTTTCATATTTCAAGTTTATCTTTCATAATCATTTCCTTTGTCATTTCCTCTTTAACATTGAAGTCTTTGGCCAGAGTTTAGAAAAGCAAAATCCGAAATTCATATTTCAAAAATTTTTTGAGAGAATCGCTAAAAGCTTTGATTTATCGGCAATCAGCTTACATTTTTCACGAGTCTGAGAATTCGTTTGAAGAGATTCCAAAAGCTCACAATTTAAATCCACAGCCAAGAGATATATTGAAAATGTTAAGCAGTTAAGTTTTACGATTATCATGAACGGACTTTGATCGGGTAGATCTTTGATCTGATAATAGTTAGGATATGATTATGAGATCATGTGGCTCAAGAGATTATCACGTGAAGAATAAAGAATCCCTTTTGAATCTACCCATTTTCCAAATTATTTTGGTTATTCAATCACTTGTTTTTTTTTTTCGTTCTTTTATATTTGTTTGGGTTTAATTACTCAAATTGGGAGTGACTACTTTGCGCCAAATTTTTTTGCTGAATCTTTTGCACAACTCGCCATAACTTTTTTCTAATTGAGCCAATCTTTATAATTTTGATGTCACTTTGTTGCACTTGTTGAGATCTACAAAATGATATTAAAATCATAAAAATTGGCCCACTTAGAAGGAAGTTATGGTGAGTTGCGGAAAGTAGCCGCTCTTCAAGTAGAAGTATTATAGAATAAGAAGTTGATTGAACTAAACGATTATCATGAACGGACTTTGATCTGAATCTGGAACTTGGTTCAATCACGGAATTCCAAGCTTTAGTCATCGTACCGATCATCAGTTTGATACTATTTTTAAACTTACTAGTTAAAGTAAAAGAAAATGATAAATCAACTAAGAAATGTTTTATTTATCAAGAATATTAAACACTGAAAGTTTAAATATTTTTATAGAGATTAAAATAAACCAATAAATTCACGTGTTCCTACTCTTTCTCTCCATCAAATCCCATTTGATCTGATCGTTGATTGACCAATCCGATGCTCTTTTTGATCAGAAAAGATTTCTTCTCTCTTTTCTCATTCATTTCTGATTTCAATCATTGCCCAAATTTATTGATATGATTGTAAATCAAACGTTGAGACAATCCATGGCGATCAATTCATGATACAATCTTTTATACGAACTATAGAATCTCTGGAACATTTACTTCTGTTTACCATTTCATAATTCGATCATCAATTATTAGTTCTTTTTTTTGAAACAAAACTTATTTTTAGACTTGGCGGAAAGATTGTTAAAATAGCGGGACTCACGAGGAAAAAATGCCGAAGAAAAGGTGAGTGGGAAGCTGAGTTTTCAAGGTTTCATGGTTAACAGCTAGAACTTCTGCGTACCAGAAGCCATGTCTTAGCCTAGTTTAAGTTAATCTTACAGTATTGACCCACAAAAAGTACCAAGCATGTACTCAACTTCAGCCTTCTCTGACTTGGCTTACTGACTCTAGTGTCTGGTCGGAACATTTGCTTATTCTGTTGAAAAACCAGAAATGATCAAATTCAGGCCTTTTCTTCAATCAGTTTTGTTCTTATGCAATCAGTTTTAGCGGAAATAACGCGATGGATTGGTTCTCAACCTATTGGACATCGATCGTGCTAATATTTGCACCAATCGTTTTCCTGCCCTTGGTTTTCATGTTTCCAGAGAATGATGTAAGTTTAGTTGTCAAGTCTGTAACTCATTTTTCTTCAGAAAGAAGGCAAATGTGCCTATGTGGTTGCTTTGATGGCCACCTATTGGGTATTCGAGGTTCTTCCACTTGCAATCACCGCTCTTATGCCTATGGTTTTCTATCCATTCTTTGAGATTATGAAGTCAGAAGAGGTGGCACAAGCGTATTTACCGGTTAGTGTTCATTCGACTCTAAGCACTTTGAATTCGACTGGAAAGTTTCAGTCTTCTGTTTTCTCAAACTAGCAACTCTCACAGATCACAGCTTGGTGAACAAGTCTTGACTACTTTTGTAGATATGGCTATGCTACCGTCATGGTCGAGTGGTTAGGAGTCTTGTATTCGAGAGGTCACGGGCTCGACCCCAGCGGCTAGAAAATTTGACTCTTTTCCCATATACTGTATTGCCTAAATAGTGCACCCCGGCGAGCCGAGTTGATGACTATTTTACGGTTTTCAAGTTTTCACAAAAGCTCAACTCTCTCAATCCCTCACTAGATCTCATCGGCAGCTACATTTTCCGACCCCACATCGATAGGTTCTGATCAGCGGTTCTTGAGATTTCGAGATATCTTTCTATTGGCTTTAGCTTTTTTCTATTGGCATCAAGATAGGTTTCTGTGGACTAAAGTGCCCACTTTGACGTTTATTTTTGATCACCCGACTTCGCGCCTTCATAAAAAAAACCGAGGACAAAATATTGTAGTAATATTTCAACAATCTTTTGTAGAAAAACAATTGGTCTTTACAATAAAGGCCGTAATTTCATCGGTGAATAGGCTATTTTAAAATAGAAGCACAAAAAAAGGTGGTCAGCACTAATTCACCAAGTTAATAGTATAGAATATTTCAAAAATCTTATAAATGCAGTTATGAATGCAAAAAAAAAATGCAAATCAGTATCAAAGTTAAACAAAAATAAACCGTATTCCCAGGACACTTCATTCCTCTTCTTGGGCGGCTTGATGGTTGCTGTTGCGGTCGAAAAAGCAAATTTACATCAAAGAATCGCTCTACTGGTGTTGAAAGTCGGTTTTACTAATAAAATGCATTCATTCATCTTAATATATGTTTCAATTCAGATCGTCGGCTCTCAACCTCAATGGATTATGGCTGGCTTCATGGCTGTCACCGGATTCCTCAGGTTGCTTTCAGCGGGTTCAAATTTTCAAATCGAAAACTTAACCCTAGTTTCTAAGGAGTACTAAAGTTACCGTGAATAGAACCCCTCGAATAGAACGCCATTTGCTCGTACAGTCGCGTAGTCTAACTGCTTTTTAGAAAATCATTTTTTACTGAGCTCCTGGATTTTTCTCAATGATATTTTTGGTACCGAAAAATACTGGATTTACACGGGCTATCATTTGACATCCAAGCACAAATTGTAGCTTAAAGCAGCGAGAATGAGACATTCAAAGTTAAACTACGCGACTGTACGCTCGTCATTATGGCGTTCTACAGTCGAACTTCGATATAACGAATCGCGCGGGACCGAAAACTTCGATATAACGAACCTAAAACGTGCCTCAAATTTTCTGCGTAGCTGCCCTGGGCAGAAATTTTGGACACTTTTTAGAATTTGAATTTCGTTGTATCGAAGTTCGACTTTATTAGAGTATTTAAAGTATATCATGAATTTGTTTAAACTTAAAACTTTTAGCATGTGGATCTCAAACACAGCCACCACGGCTCTCATGGTGCCGATTGTGCAAGGAGTCATCGTTGAACTTGTCGCAAATCATCGAATGCAAGAGGTACAAATTCTTTTAAAATTTAGATTTGCAATTTCGAAAAATTTAGATGTTCACAATGGTTGAGCGGTCGAATGCGGACAATCGTCGGAGATCGGTCGAGTGTCGTCGCCTCTCGATCAGTCATGAGCACTATATTGCCCCGCAAAGGTTATTGAAGTTGTAAAAAAATGTCAAAACCTTTATCTACTCTGGCTTTGCTTGAATTTGAATTTAAAGTTTAGAATGATTAGGCCAAAGAAATGGCAAGAGAGGCAAGAGAGGATCATTTTGATTTTCTTAGAGCCGGCCGTTTTCTACAAATTTCAAGCTATTCAGAGTGATGAAAATCCTTTTTTTGAGGACTTTTGTTCAAATCGAAATTCAGAAAAAACGGCTAGACAAATTTGGTTGAAAATTTTACTGAAAATTTAGAAAATCTGTCTTTATTTCCCGTAAGGAAGGAAAATCAATTCTTGTAGAAAAATTTGTGAAATGGGTACGTTTAGTGCTTTAACCGACATGCCATTTTTAAGGCTAAGCAAAGAATTTTTAAGGCTGTGTTAGGCTTTAGGTTTCTTAGCAGTACGTAGAAACTATGCTAATCAAATTGTTCAATCTAGTACAACTATATTGCTAAAACATTATCAATAATCATTTTATCGTAAAGTTTTAGAGATGTCGCGGATGTTTATACCCCAAGAGAACTCTCAATGGCCAAAGGTCTTCTGATTTCTGTTTGTTTCGCAGCAAATATCGGAGGAGCAGCAACGATCACGGGAACCGCCACAAATCTAGTCCTTGTCGGCCAAATTGAGAAGTGAGTGCTGAGAAAGTTCATGAATAACACTTAATGTTTTAGATTGTTCCCTCACGCTAACACTGGTGTCAATTTCCTCTCGTGGATGATTTTCGCCTTTCCTTTATGCTTTGCTTGCCTCATTCTTTGCTGGGTGATTTTATGGGTTCTTTTTATGAGGAACAGCCCAAAGGGAAATGCGATTGTGACAAGGAAATTGCATGTAAGTTGAACTTAAATTACTACTGAATTGCTAAAAATCTCTTCCAGGATAAATACGAGCAACTCCCACCGCTTTCCTTTGCTGAAGTGGCTGTTTCTCTTTGTTTTCTTGCAATGTTGGCACTTTGGATCCTCCGAGAGCCTCAGGTTTTCCCAGGATTCGGCGAATATTTTAAACACGGGTAGAAAAGATTTCTCAATTTAAAAAACTTTTAAACCCTTTTCAGGTACATCTCCGATGCGTGTAGTGCAATTTTTATTGTGATCGTCCTTTTCATGTTGCCTGATAATTGGCCCAAATGTTTCTCACCGGAGCCATCGAGAGGATTGATTACACAAGGTGGGTTTGCAAGTACTATGAGGTAGACTTGCTTAACGCGGCAGATCAAAGAATCGGGTCGCGCAACTCCAGACGCTTGATCTAGCCTTCAGAGCATTCGATTCCAATGAACTTTTTTTATTTAAAAGCCAGGATTTTAAGCTATTTAATGATATTCATTACTTAAGTTTTTCTTTTGAAAAAGTTGGTCAAAAATATCGAGACTTAACGAGACTTAACGAGACAATTCCTCGTTATCTCGTTAATTCTCGTTAAGCAATTCTACTATGAAGTTTCCCAGGCCAAACTAAGCTACCTTTTTATTCGACGATGTTGTCATCAATGTCAAAGTTAAAATTTTTTGGATAGCTGTTTGATGTTAATAGTCAAAAGCAAACTTTTATGAGAAGTAATTTAAAATAAACTTGTATTTGAAACGGAGAACAATTAACTTTGCAGTAGAACGGCTGACTTGAACTAGAGAGCTTTTCCCTTGTATTCTAACCCACTGCCACTTGACCATGACTGCTTCTCAAAGTTTCTACGAAATCTGCTTGTAAATTCGGGGTGAGCTTTTAAAATCCCATACAAAACTTTTCATGCAAATGATAACTTTTGGCAGAGTGCTGCATAGCAGAAACGAAACGGAATCGGCGTTGAATTCTGCGTCGAATAACCCGTGGCACATACCATTTGACCACCAAACTCAGTTGAAATTCCCTTGTAAGCTTGTAAGCTAGACTAAAGCCATCCATGAGTACTACGATAATTTTGGCGATGTGATTCACTGAAAAGTAAAACTTGAAAGATATCTTTAGGACCAAAAAGAATCATTCGTGGAAGTCTGCTTGATTGGCAAACGATTCAAGAGAGGTTCCCGTGGTCGATTCTTCTCCTTCTTGGAGGTGGTTTTGCTCTAGCAGCTGGAGTAAAGGTGATTCCATTTAAAGAACTCATTTACGCAAACGTTAGAACGAAACAATTCAAGTAAACACATTATTTCTGATGGAATTGATAATTTCCTTTCAGGAATCCCATCTCTCACTGCTTGTCGGAAATGTGATGAAACGCTTAGAAGTGTTTCCAATTTTCGTCATTATGACAATCATCATTTTGATCACTTTGGTTTTGACAAATATCTGCTCAAATACAGGTTGAAGAGATTTGTTAAAACTGAAATAGCAATCGATTTCAGTTGTCGCTTCAATCTTTATCCCAATTGTTGCCGAATTGGCTCGTTCTCTTGAACTAAATCCTCTTTATTTCATGTTACCCGTTGCCATTTCTTCATCTTTCGCCTTTCTTTTGCCAGTTGCTACTCCACCGAATGCAATCGTTTTTTCAGCTGGAGTGGTCAAAGTGAAGGATATGGTAAGTTTGATGAATCGACAAACATCTGTCGGTCCTTTTTTTTGCCGTTGGCAATTTAAGGTTTTTTTGTGTTTTTCTCAGCATGAACCCTTCAATTCTTACTATTTTGACTATCATTCGATGCAGAATAAAATTGCGCGTCGAATGATACCAGAAAGTAACTCAAAATGTAATATCCATGCAAAGTTGTTGGCTAAAGATCTAAACCCCGTTTTGGGACTAAACCTTTTTGCCTCATAACTTTGCATGGATATTACATTTTGAGTTACTTCTGGTATCATTCGACGCACAATTTTATTCTACATCGAATGATAGTCAAAATAGTAAAAAGGAAAGGGTTAGTGCTGAGAAAAACACGAAAAACCTTAAATTGCCAACGGCAAAAAAGGACCGACAGATGTTTTCGTTACAAGTTTAATGTACAAGGTTCTTAAAGCTATGTTGAGGCACAAGCCGTGGTCAGACCAAGCTATGACAATCGAACATAGGACAGGTCAAGTCATTCCTGATGCTTTGGTTCATCAAGACCGTAGCCCTGACTTGCTCGTTGACTTGTGTAGGTTGCGAGGTCTAGGACCTCCAAAGGCCAGCTCTGCTTGGGTTCAGGACCTGTTTAGACTTAAAATTTGGACTTAAAGTCTGTAGCCGGTGGCGCATAGAGGCCCCAAGACCTTCACCAGGCCGGCCAGTCATGGGTTTGCGTCCAGAACTTGACCTGATCTTAAAATTTTGCTTTTGAAACAGTTCTGAGCATGTGCTACTTTAAGAGATTTGAAAGTAAACCATGAAACTAACTGAAACTAATAATCCAGCTTGAAAGCCAGATTTAGATTGTTGCCGGTTTCCTCTTAACAATTGGTTGTCTCGGGCTGACAATATTGACGATGGCTCTCTGGGCAAAACATGTCTATCATTTGGTGAGGCAGCTTAAAATTACATTTTACAGTAATTTGTTCAATTTCATTTAACTCAATTTTTTTCAGGACGATCATGAGCGAACGTTGCTCCTTTTGAATCAAACTTGGGTTGCTTGAGAGGGGAAAAAAGTGCGAAAGATCATTACAAACAATAGGTTATGGTAGTTTTGTTCAAGTTTTATCAAATCCAAAATAAAAATCTATTTTCTCGAATGATCTCTTGTGATTTTTGCCAAGCTGCCTTTTAAAATTCGCCTTTATTCCGTTCGATTGTGATTTTCAGATTTCCATGACCGTGAACGTGTGCCATATGATGTAAAAAGAAATTTTGTTCTGAATCAGATCACTTTCTTTAGCTGTTACACAGCTTAAATTTATAATCTTTTTTATTTTGGAGATATGAAAATATTATTAGTTGAGTTGTTAAAGAAATCAGTATCTCTAAAATTCAAAAAATTTTCATTTTCCCCGAAGATTTCCTTTGGCCGGGTATATTGGACGACGTTTTTCATGTTCTTTTTTGAAATTTGAACGAATAGTAAACCCATAAAGCTTTTTATTGCAAAATTTCTTTTCAAGAAAACAATCATATTCAATATTCAAATAAATTTTTGGTTCTATTTTTACGTGAATCCTATATTTGAGCTCAAAGTTAGATTGCTGACGGGAAAAGGAGCGGAGTGCGTCTCAAATCTTTGATAACCTAACAGCTCAGATCTTACCATATGCTTTATAGAATTCTTTTCAGAGTGGTTGTGATTTTTTTTCAGTTGGCAACAAGACAAAACAAAGCCAATTGGAATAGTAAATTTGGCAATTCTTTCGACATGGTTCGCATCGAAAGAGGAAAAGAGACAGTCTTTAGTGAAAATCGGATGAAATCTCTTGCACAAATGCTTCAAAAATGTTTTAAAATCAAGTAAAGCTTTACGGGCTTTACTCACGCCGCATCTAACGCATCATCTAACGACTCACGGGGTAACAGTGACGTTTTTTATCGGAGCCTATGTAATGTATGGTTTAGTGGTTGACACGTGGGCAGTCATTTTTTTCTTGATTCTGACTGTCATCCCGTTCCTCTTCCATTCGATTCTCGGGTGAGTGACTCGTTTAACAGTGGGATTTCAAAGTTGCTCTAGCTACCGTAACCGCTCGATTGTGGGCCATTTTATTCGCGCCCCTTTTCCCATTAGCAATGTAACTTTGAACTCGAATATCTTTGTGTTGGGCTGTCCAACTTAAATAGTTTTTGTACAATGGACAGAGAAAGACTTGGCGCATCCAAGGATATCAAGAATGTGTAAATTCGACAACCCAACATCAAGAAATGGAGCTCAAAGTTGGATTGCTGATGGGAAAAGGAGCGGAGCGTGTCTCAAATCTTTGATAACCTAACCGCTTAGATCTTACTATATGCTTCATAGAATTCTTTTCAGAGGGGTTGTGATTTTTTCTTTTTTTACTTTTTAGCTTTTAGCTAACTAGCTATAGAGAGGATTTTAAAAGCTAAAAGATCCCAAAAATATTTTAAAGTGTTAGTTTTAAGTTTATTATAGCATCAAAACACTTAAATTCAAAGTTAATTGGTTTTTTTAGCTAAAGACTGATTTCTAAGGCCAGCTTCAGTACCCGAACGGTTGGAGTAGTGAGCCAAATGAAGCTTTTTTCGTTTTCACATGAACAAAATTCATAAGCTGTTTTGGGTAGTGTGGAAATTTGTATTTCTTTTGGGATTTGGTTTAGCCTGCCAATTTAGGAATGATTCTGGCTTCGAGTTTAAGAACTGTAAATATAATAAAACAGCTTTTGAAACGTGGTTCAATTTTTTTTTTGCGAACAGTCACTTTCCCAATCCAACACTTCAAATGTAACTCCAGTGTATCTCGACTTTGTCAACAAAAACGTCATTCCAAAATCCAAAAGCTATGGGAATTCATGGTTTATCTGCTTTCTCCTGTTTCAAAGTGAACGGTCATGTTTATTCAGCTGCTTGTCATGTCCCAAATTCCTTCTTTTTAAGGGTTATTCATATTTGCATTAAAAAAAAACTCTGTTTATAACAAGACTCAGAAACTGGGGTATAAAATGACTGAGAGATGAAATGAGGAAAATCTTGTCTGAATTTGGCTAAAATGATGAGACTTTTCGTTCTTCTCGGACTCTTGACCGTTTCAATCAATGCAGTCACATATTGTGCTGTGAATAACGGGATTTCATGTAAGTTTTCTTGTTTTTATCTCAGTGTGAGTTATTATAAGACAACCTTTGTATCTAGGAATGTGTAAAAATCAAAATTACCAGCTCAGCCAAGAAATTGAGGCTGACTTGGAAAGAAAGTAAGAAGTCAAGGCTAGTCAAGGCAAAGCAAGCGTTCTGAGAAGTTTTGGAGCTCTGAAGTTTTTCTTTTCCATTTGACACCACGAATTTCAGGCAACGCAGTCTGTTCTTCTGGTTTCACCTGTGCCTACACAAGCACTGCAGCCACCGCTCGAGTTTGCTGTACCTCAGCTAATCGTTTGTTCTTACATTGTCATTGTTATCACAAAATAGTTTAGTGAGAACAGCAACAACGTCGTGCTACAATCGAGGCACCGATTGTGCTGCTCGTAGAGCCGCCGGATATTGCTCAAGAACGGTGAGTTTTTGTCAGTTAGGTTATCGTTTTTAAAAAAGTAGACATAAACAAAACTGTGCTTGACTCGTTTTTGAACTTTGGCCTTAAATGGTTATCAGACGCGCCCCGCACCTTTTCCCATTAGCAATCTAACTTTGAGCTCAAATATCTTGGTGTTGGACTGTTGAATTTTAATATTCTTGCTATCATTGGATGCGCCAAGTATTTCTCTGTCGATTGGTACAAAAACTATTTAAATTGAACAGCCCAACACCAAGATATTTGAGCTCAAAGTTGGATTACTAATGGCAAAAGGCTGCGTATCAAATGCCCCACGATCCTTAAATATTAGCTAATTTCAGTACTACGTCACTCTGATGCGAACGCAATGCCCCCTTGCTTGTGGATTTTGCTCGACTGGCAAATAAGATGATTAGAAATATGATGCACAAAGAAATTTAATAAACTTTCTTCCTAACAAACGTTTCCATCATAAATTATTACAAAATGAAAAGGCTACGTTAGAAAACTGTTGGAGTCAAGCCGTCTTCATTCAATCAGCTCAAGTCTTTTTTTCCTCAGCAATCAGCTTCATTCAATCAATTCAATCAGCCAAACCAGTAACGTTTCTTTTTTGATTGATTAGTTTTGAATTTAAAATGCTTTCCCAATTAGATTTTTGAGTTTTGTGCTTGTTTTGATGATTACAAACGAAGAGGCACAGATTTTTCTGAATAACTTACAAAATGCTTTCTGCTAGACACTGGTTTCTTTGAGAAGAATTCTAAAATCGGAATTTTATCAGAACAAAGCAATAAACTACCCTAAACGACGAATGCACTCAATCAACCCTCCATAAAAATTCTCTTTCCTGGCAGCTTATCTCTTTTTTTACACAGCCGGTCTCGTTTGGACTATAATTTATTACCATCGTTTTTTCGAAATGTTCAATCGTTTCATTCTTCTTTACTACTTGATTTGTAAAAGTGTTTGTTTTGACAAAGATTTGGCAGATTATCTAGCCTTTACAACTGAAACTTTAATTTCTGGAAACTCGACTGAACCAACAAGCGCATCACTTCCAACAGCAGTTCAAACGACAACAACAGCTCCACTGATTAGCTGTTGGTATGACACAAACACTGAACCGTATCACTCAAATTCAGTGAGTTAAAGCAATCCAATTGATCAAGACAGATTTTAGGCGGAATCACTTCAATGTTTGTGTGGAGACACCTGCATAACAGGAGTTATTGTAAGTTGAGAGAAATAACAATATTCAAATGTTTTCACTTTCCCAAATTAAGATTAGAGTGTATTCCCCAGAAGTAATGCGTTTTTTAAAACACACACTTAGGAAAAACTACCGTAGTTTTAGCGAAAATTGGAGACTGTATAAGGCGGCACTCGAAAGTTGCACCAAATGACCTATATGGCTTTGATTGGGTCCCAAATTTTTTGACTGCCGCCTTATACACTCTGTCAAAAAATTATAGACGCACCCTGTTTTTTGCTAGTTTAAAGCCGGATATAAGTGCGAGTCCAGTGAAAAGTATTTTTTAGTTTCTTTAATGTAAAAAAAACAACCCATGCAAAATTTTAAGTCATTTCACTCACCCAAAGTACTTTATCGTACAAAAAACGTTTTATCAGCTGTCAAAAAATTATAGACGCAACTTAAATTTGACGATTTATTCTATCGATCATTGTTTGTTTTTTCTCATTTTTTTTGCTTATTAGTTATGTTTATAAATGTTTTTTCATTTTCAGATATGCCACTTGGAAAATAACTGGATGTGGTGGAAAAAACGTGTATCGATGTGCTCCACACGCTTGGTCATTCTAACAGGGACGTTGCTCGTCGCATCGGACGCTCTGAGAAGTGTATTCGCACGTATCTCAAGACCAAAGTGACTCCTAAGAAGAAAGAAACACGGGCCGGAAGAAAAAGTTGACCGATCAAGACGAACGCGCAATTACGAGACGTCTTTCCAACACGACGACATCACTCGAAGAGGTTCGCAAGAAGATGAAACTTCTGGTCACTCGCCAAACTGTGCACAACGTTGTCAAACAATCTCCAATACTTAAGTACAAACCCATGAAGCAAGCTCTTTATTTCGTTTGTGTTGTTATTTTTATTTCTGTTAACTTTTTCTTGGTAAAATAAAAGTGCGTCTATAATTTTTTGACAGCTGTTAAAACGTTTTTTGTACGATAAAGTACTTTGGATGAGTGAAATGACTTAAAATTTTGCATGGGTTGTTTTTTTTACATTAAAGAAACTAAAAAATACTTTTTACTGGACTAGCACTTATATCCGGCTTTAAACTAGCAAAAAACGGGGTGCGTCTAGAATTTTTTGACAGAGTGTATACGGCCTTTCAGATATTCAGCCGTTTAACTGATTTGGTGGCAAATTCCCTTCAAAGGTAAAGATATTCAATTTACTCGAGGTATAAAGAGGATTACTCGTAGTTGCTCGACAAAAAACGTCGATTAATAGGGACTATGACAATACTGCAACGACATTTGCGCACAAGAGGCCCCGCCCGCAAACTTCAGGTGCAAAAAGTTGCACCAAATGGCCTACATTGCTTCGATTGGGCCAAATTTTTGCAGCATTTTGCGCCCGCCTATGTCCATTTACTGTAAAAATTTCAGTTTACTAGCTTGAATAGAAAAAAAAAATTGGAAAGCCATTGTTTGCTTTGTGCGCAAAAGATGTCTTGTTTGCATCTTTTGAGCACAAAAAAATTCAAGTCACTCAAAAATTTTTTGTAGTAAAGCTATCAAGCTGAAATTTTTACAGTAAATGGACATAGGCGGGCGCAAAATGCTGCAAAAATTTGGGACCCAATCAAAGCCATATAGATCATTTGGTGCAACTTTTGCACCTGAAGTTTGTGCGCAAATATCGTTGCGGTATTGTCATAGTCCCAATTAATCGAATAAAAATTACGCATGCAAATTTTACTTGAGTAATCACTTACTCGCGAGGAACACACTCTAGCTAAGATAGGCTTAAAATCTAGACAAAATCTGGGTTGACAAAGCCAGGAATGTGAGCAAGCCTTGGATTTTTTTCAGAATGGTTCTCACGGAATTGGCTATTTCTGGCAATGTGGCTGTGAAATGGGTGGACAAACACCGTATTATTTATGCCCAACGAATACTCAATTCGATGAATATGTGTGTTGCAAAGGGGACTCGTGCAACGCTGGGAATTGGACTGAACCTCCAACAACAACAATTCAAACACCCTCTACAAGCCCACCATTTATCAGCTGCTGGTATGACACAAATACGCAGCCATATCATTCAACTTCGGTGAGTTTTTAAGCAAAATTTCCAAGACTCGAACTTTAGGCTGTGAAACTGGAATGTCTGTGTGGAGACACTTGTATAATTGGATATATTGTAAGTCACTTTTTTTGTACTTTCGCTGAAAGGTTCAAAAAAACTGAATCATTTAGGATAGAGGCTTTGGAGTCGGCTATTTCTGGCAATGTGGCTGTGAAATGGGTGGACAAACGCCGTATTATTTATGCCCAACGAATACTCAATTCGATGGATATGTGTGTTGCAAAGGGGACTCGTGCAACGCTGGGAATTGGACTGAACCAACAACCGCTTTGACAACAACAACAATTCAAACACCCTCAACAAGCCCACCATTTATCAGCTGCTGGTATGATGGAAGTTTCGAGCCGTACCACTCGAATTCAGTGAGGATAAAGTTTGTTTTGAAATTTTCAATTCGTTTTCCAGGCTGTGGCACTGCAATGCCTGTGTGGTGACACTTGCATAACTGGAGTTATCGTAAGTTGAGAGATGATCACCAGAGTTGCGGTAGTCAAAATTAAGTGGTTTCTAAATAGGTCTATTTTCGGGGAACTGCCGTAAGCTAATTTTTCTGTTTTCAACTAACTGTTTGATTTTTGAAATCATCGGGTATCCTTGTAAATATGCGTCAGACTGTAGATTCGTATTTCTACAATTATTTCTACAATAGATTCGTATATCTACAATTTCTACAAATATTCTAAAAATTCTATAAACATGTAGAGTCGACAAAAGCCAGAAAAAAGATTAGAGTGGCTTTAGAAAGTTAAGGCATTTTAGAAGGTTATGGTAGTTTTAAAAATAAGAACTAAAAAACACTAGGGTTACGATGGTTTTCAAAGTTGACACATTTTAACAGCTTTGAGAGCACTCTTCAACTGGAGTGAAATTTTCAGAATGGCTCCACCGTTGGCTACTTTTGGCAATGCGGCTGTGAGCTGGGTTCTCAAGAATATCATTTATGTCCGACGAACAATCAATACAATGAATATGTGTGCTGTAAAGGAAATTTGTGCAATGCTGGCAATTGGACTGAGCCAATGACGACATCTACAATAGATGCTACAACTGGGATAACTAATCCAACAATATCCACAAGTACAACAACACAACTAGCTACTGCATCTTCTATTTCCCCGTCCACTAATCCCAGCATTGCAACAAAAGCTACAACGGTAATCACGACTACAACTTTATCCACAACTACGACAACAAGCGCAACACCAACAACAAGTAGTAAACAAGCAATCTCTTTGTTTATTGTGCTGACAACAGTTATTTGGTGCTTTTTCTTATCAGATACCCCAAAAAATTGAATATTTTGCCCATAAAGCTTTACTTGATTTTAAAACAATGATTTTTGAAGCATTTATGCAAGAGATTTTAATCGATTTACACCAAAGACTGTCTCTTTTCCTCTTTCGACGCAAACCATGCGGAAGAATTGCCAAATTTGCTATTCCAATTGGCTTTGTTTTGTCTTGTTGCCAACAAATCACAACCACTCTGAAAAGAATTCTATAAAGCATATGGTAAGATCTGAGCTGTTAGGTTATCAAACATTTGAGACGCGCCCCGCTCCTTTTCCCATCAGCAATCTAACTTTGAGCTCAAATATCTTGGTGTTGGGTTGTCGAGTTTACATATTCTTGATATCATTGGATGCGCCAAGTCTTTTTCTGTTGATTGTACAAAAACTATTTAAGTTGGACAGCCCAACACCAAGATATTTGAGTTCAAAGTTAGATTGCTGATGGGAAAAGGGGCGCGGATAAAATGGCCCACAATCGAGTGGTTACGGGAACTTTGAAATCCCAATGTTAAACGAGTCACTCACCCGAGAATCGAATGGAAGAGGAACGGGGATGACAGTCAGAATCAAGAAGAAAATTATTGCCCACGTGTCAACCACTAAACCATACATTACATAGGCTCCGATAAAAAACGCCACTGTTATCCCGTGAATCGTTAGATGATGCTTTAGATGCGGCGTGAATAGAGCTTCATTTTGTCATACATTTCTTTATGTGTTTCTTGTTTGTGCATCATGGGGAAAAATCGGGACAACTGCGAATGTTGGCCTGTATGAACATTTTTGTTCGTAAACACAAAAGTCGAAATAACATTCTTGCTGACAAAGGAATTTAGCTGAATTTGGATTTTTCTTATCTGGATAGTGTCACAACTTTTGGCTAAATTGGACTTTTACTCTGAACGTAAAATTGTTTTCACTCATTGTGTACCGAGAAGCAAAGTCAATTGCTACGTGAATTCTATTTAAGACCGGAGTTCCAAAAGTGTGAAAAGGGAAAGTTTCATGATTTCCAACGAAATATTTGGCTCTTTCAGCAATTCGTCAGCGAATTCTGTTCCTTTTAAGATCTGGATAGTGTCTCAACTTTTGGCTAAATCGGATTTTTGCTCTGAAGGTAAAAATGTTTTTTTCCATTATATTTGATGTGCCACGTAATTTGATGTGCCACGTAATTCCCGCTTCACATGAGCTCCAAGATGTGAGATGTCGGGCGAGTAGGCGGACGTCCGTATCAATTTGACTCCATTCACCGAGAGCCAGTCGGGTATTCGGACTCTGCGGCCTCCGGGAAGTTGTCGAATTGGTGCCATCATCAGCCGGTGTGTTGGGGAGTTTCGTCCTGCTGGAAAAGCCATCCTTTGGGCATATTTTGAGTCGCGAATGGAAGCATGTGTAGTTCGCAAATGTGCTTGTATTGGAGAGCGAAACAGGAACTTTGACTTTTACTTTTTTACTCTGTTAGGTGACGAAGATCGAGTCTCGAATCAAGTCAAAAAGCAGACTGGATACAAATAGGCCATAGTAATAAGTTTTAGTCTCAGTTCTCTTTCTATATAAGATACATTGAGCGCTTTAAAAAATTGATGTTAGTTTCCAGGTGT